CCCTTCGCGCAGGGCGCTGGCACGGCCAGTCGCGGGCCACTTCTCTGCCAGGCTCCCGGCCCGGGCCGAGGAACGCACGTGCCGCACCTGATTCACAAGGGCCCGAGTGAGGCGCCTGGGTTCCTCTTGCTCTGCCGCGCTCTGTGCCTCGTTTCCTGAGCGCTCGCTGCGTCTGCGTGAGCATCTCACGGGCAGAACCAACCCCCTGGGAGTCGCTTCCACCTGCCCCAGCTTCAAGCCTGGCCAGTGGGGAGCCTTTTCCAAGGCGCAAGCGACGGCTGGATTCAGGCGCTCTGGCTTCATTAGGCCCGACCCTAGTGGCAGAGATGACCAAGGGCCCTGCCGGGAGCTGCCTGAGCTGTGGCCGCCCTGCGTGGGAGCCGGTCAGCTCTGCAGCCCCTGCCAGGTTCAGCTCTGGCTGAGCGCGGACTCACTGCACCCAGGAGCTTGTGGGGGCAGGCGGGCGCGGTTCAGGGGACCATCCTCGGGCTCAGGAGCGCAGCGTGTAGCTGGCCAGCGGGGACGGGCCCCTCCGAATCCAGCCGCCAGGGGCTCTGGCTGCTCTCAATAGCGCCGGGTCGCACCGGCAGGGCAGAGGCCAAGCGCTGGAAATGCGGCTGCCCCGGCTGAGCCACCGGCTCCGAGCCTTTGGTTCAAACCTCGGAGAGGAGCTGCCACAGGTGCTAGTCCCTGCCGGCCATTCCCGGCCAGCCCAGGGCCCCGCAGCGGAACTGACAGCAGCACTGAGATCTGGGCCCTGCTGGGCCGGGCGCTGCACACACCCCGTGAGAGACAGTCCCTGTCCAAAGAGCTCACAGTCCAGACAAAGGCGGGGAGGGGAAACCGAGGCACAGAGCGGGGCAGAGGCTTGCCCGGGGTCAGTGGCAGAGCTGGGAATGGAACCCAGGAGACAGCACCCAACCCACACGACCTTGCTGCCCGAGGCTGTGAGCGGGTCAGCTCCTGGGGGGGGGGTCTGAACAGGTCCCCCAGTGGTAGCGGAGCCCCTCCAGCCAGTGGAGCGAGGGGTGCTCCTGCCCCCTGCACGCAGGCAGGACGTTCTCAGGACCGAGTGTTGTCCCTGGCCCATTCCCCTGCATGGGGCTCTGCCGCCCCTCTGGAGACGGGAACATGGCCAGGCCCCCGGGGCCGGAACCTGTCACAATAAACAGAACCTGCCGGTGTGGAAACCAAACAGCCTTTGTCTTTAATGCATGTTTGCTGGGCATGGGTTAAAGTTCCCAAGTTCGCTGTATGACAGCAGCTCTAGAGAGCCGAGACCATCGCGCCGGGCGCTGCCCAGACCCCAGCCAAGATCAGGGCCCCGTCGTGCCGGGCGCTGCCCAGAACCCGCCCGAGATCAGGGCCCCGTCGCTGCCCAGACCCCGACTGAGATCAGGGCCCCGTCGTGCCGGGCAATGCCCAGACCCCAACTGAGATCAGGGCCTCATCGTGCTGGGCGCTGCCCAGACCCCGGCCGAGATCAGGGCCCCATCGTGCCGGGCGCTGCTCAGACCCTGGCCGAGATCAGGGCCCCATCGTGCCGGGCACTGCCCAGACCCCGGCCGAGATCAGGGCCCCGTCAGGCCGGGCGCCGCCCAGACCCCAGCC